ATATGCGAGAGGCAATATATCCTAAATCGTTCAAGGACAGCTTACTTTCGAGCATACAAGTGAGCCTTTTTACCATGGTAGATGTAAATTATAGTCTCTTAACAGTGGACATGACATGTTAGACATGACATGAAGAAGATGAAGACATGACATGGACATGTCGATGGTGTCAAGGCACACCATGAAAAGCGTGGCTAGGGGCCCAAAACCCCTGTAGAGGTCTTCCCGCTGTTTCAGGGCCTTTAAAAGCCCAAGATTGCGTTTCATTTGAGGCACAACGGGTTCATGGCTGCATCAAAGTCCTTTTTGACCGTTTGAAGCCATTGGTGACCTCGACGTCCGTTAACCGCCTCTGAGGTCCGTGGACAGGTAGGCTTTAACGGTCGGGAGCTTCGAGAATGTAAACAGTATCCGCCTTGTGTTTTTTGTTCACCGCTTTGTCCCAAAATTAAAGGACATCCCACACTACCAGAGCATGCTGAGCCCGCCGGTCACGAGCGGACCTCCAGGGCCCCCGGCGACGGCAGGCCCGCCTTACCGGGAGCATGCTGAGCCAGCTGGCCACGAGCGGACCCTCAAGGTTCCGGCGACGGCGGGCCCGCCCGAGTGCAGGAGTAGCTCTCCAGTTGTTGGGTCTCTGCTTGAGGTGCGACGCGGTGGGAGGACAGTTCACGATGTTCTCAGCATTGTTCCGCCATTCAACTCTACTCACAATTCCATAGTTCTAAAATGATCAATCATGTTCGGAGGAGGGCTGAATAAGCCAAAACTAACTAAACGCCCAGATACGGCTAGAGGTGCGCCATACCAGGTGACCTGCCACCATACCAGGAGAGTTGGCGTCATACCAGCTGAGCTGCCACCATGCCAGGAGAGTTGCTATGATACCGGGGGAGATACTACCATAGCAGGGAAGTTGCCATCATACTAAGTGAGCTGCAACCATATCAGGGGAGCTGCTATGATAGCAGGGGAGTTGCCACCATACTAGGAGAATCACCATAGCGAGCCGCCACCTTTCACCAACTGCTGCCGGCCACCAACGCAACTCTGGGGCTACCTCGAAACGAAACGGTGCCACCGAAACTTGGTGCCGAACACGCCGTCGTCCACTCTGTCAAGCACTTAACTTAGACTTATAGAGGTGGCGGTGACGGCTATGCGGGATGGCTAGGATCGAATCGATCCGACCCGCCGTCCATCCGACGGCGCAACCGAGGCGTCCGTTGTGAAAACGGGACTGAACGATCATGGGGAGGGGCGAGCTATAGTTTGCATCGCTGTAACCAAGCACATCGACCAAGCACATCGGCCGCCTGCAGCCGTCGGGTGCGGCCCGCACGCTTAGGCACAAGGCGTCCCTCCGGGTCTGCAGCGTACCCCTGCCGTGGGCCGGTTGGCGCCGGTGAGGGCGGTCGCGGCGCGCGGGCGGCGCGCGGGCGGCGATCGGGCACCCCGAGAGCAGCAGAGCTCTCCAGGGGCGCGGCGTGTGCGGCCGAGGCCGGCGAGCGCGCGGATGATTGGGAGTGTGGCTGCGTGTGCATTACCACTGATCCAGCTCGCGCCATGTCCAATTGCTACGCTTGGTGGTGGCTCATTACTGCCTGTCCGATGCGTCGCTAGCAATATAGCCGCCATCATGTCTCTGTATGCAAGCCTTCAGAGATCCGGGGCAGTTTAAGTGCTATCACATGGCTGCTCACTCAACTGAGCTCGCCATGGTGAGTCAAGGACATTATATTTACAACAGCTGATTAAGTTGTATGCTTATGGGCCGAAAAGCGAGCATTCAAGAAAATCTGGCTATTCATTTCTAATATTGGAGACAATTGCTGAGGTGGCGTTGCAGGGCACGTGATCAAGGGAAATGAGAATAGGGAGCCACGCCTCTCCGCCAATGTTGGCAAAACCATGCGTTACCTCCGGTGATATTAAGTATCGGTTGCATAGCTTTGCATGATAAAGGTGGACTCCAAAGGCATTCCTATCCCCTTCCCTCTTCTGAACTCTCGTGCTGCTGCGGGGGTGAAGTAGTGATGTGCGAGGACAGACCGCGGGAAATGAAAGAGGCGTGGGTAAAAGAGCATTTGTAAGATGGCCATCTACCCCGCGTTGGCCCGCGCACCATATATCCAGAACAATGTTACGAAGCCAGGGACAGACGCAGGCAGAGCAAAACCTGCCCTGAACGGACAGAAAAAGGGTAGACCCATGAAGGGGCCATAATAAATTGCAGATACATCTATGGCAGGAACCGAACGGACACAACCGGATGGGACCAGCGTAGCCCACGCGGAACAGACCGGACCAGATACGGGGGGGGGGACCAGGATAGGGCTGAGCCCGGGGGGGAGGACAGCACAGAACAGAACTGAAAATTGAAACGGACAGCCAAAACCGAATCAGATTGAATCTGATCAGACTGACTTGAGTGGAACAGGATCAGGCAGAAAAAACAGAATCAAGCACGTCAGGACAACAGGGGCCTGGAAAGGACAGGCCACACCGTTTGCAGTGGTCCAGACTGGCTGGTCAGGCCTGATTTGGTCCGGTCTTATGCAGTCTAGTCTAGCTTAGCTCGATGCCGACCAGCTAAGTCAAATGTCATCTAAGTCAAAAGATTAAACCCGTTAAGTTCAATGTAATCTAATCCGGTGTGTTTTACGCACTTGGAGACGAGGAACGGCGCTCCCCCAACCGCACAGTCGATCCGCGTTAGCGAAGCGCCGGAAGCCCACGCACTGTGCGGGCCCTTGACGTGCGGTACAGTCTACCTTTCAGGTGTTCGAGCTGGGACGTCATCTATTGGGAAAACTTCAAAATGCGTGGGTGCACGCCATGGGCGGCACGGCACGCTGTCCCAAGTGAAACAAGCTCTGAACAAGTACACGTGCAGTGGCCTGTGGTGCGGCTTCCCCAGCTTCAACTGGCGTGAGAGAATCCATCGCCATGCCCTCAACAGCTGTGCACACCGTGAAATATGGCAAACCGACAGCAATGAGACTTGAAGGTTTGGGGACCATCAATATTAGCTCAAAAGTTTACTGATTACCTCAGACCTTACCTCAGACACTCAGAGACAAGAGACGTTACCTCATTCAATTGTCATGGCTTCAGTAACGCAATAAATACCCACGTGAAAAATAATTTTGACATGGGATTGCGGTACATACCACCCTAACGTGGGATTGTAGGCAGCAAACTCAAGGAGCATGTATCGTCGACACAGCGTTGAAAATACCGCTGCCTTGCTTGCCTTTTGTTTTGTCTTCTTTGCCCAAAGTCAGTAAAACTCTAGCAAAGTTAAACGCATTTTACGAAGCATTTTAAAGCTCGGGCGTGCGTGTGCCAGTCTGCAAGCGGAAAAACAGCAGCCGACGGTGGTGCCCGACTCTGAGCACCTGCGGCACTGAGCGGCCGATGGCGGGCCCCGGCTCTGAGCATCGCGGCGCTGAGCGGCCAATGGCGGGACCCGGCTCTGAGCACCGCGGCACTGAGCGGCCGATGGCGGGCCCCGGCTCTGAGCACCGCGTCACTGAGCACCGCGGCACTGAGCGGCCGATGGCGGGCCCCGGCTCTGAGTGCTGCGGCACTGAGCGGCCGATGGCGGGCCCCGGCTCTGAGCACCACCGGCTCTGAGCACCGCGGCACTGAGCGGCCAATGGCGGGCCCCGACTCTGAGCACCGCGGCACTGAGCGGCCGGTGGCGGGCGCCCGGCTCTGAGTGCCGCTGGTTCTGACTAGGACACGCGGCGTGCGCAAACGAGGCTTCGTTAGCGGACTTGGGCCCGGCTCAAGCACACTAGATGACCGACGGGCCGATTTGCCCTCCGGACGGCGCCGGCTGTTTCGTCAGCCACTGCCGACCGCCGACAGCGAGGCCACCCTTTTGCACGACGCAGGTTCGCCTGTTCGCCGTGACGCCTGTTCCGTCCTCCGCCACATCTCAGCCGCATCTCCGCCGCCTCTCTGAGGCTTGACCTCTGAGATGGGGACTGGTGCACACATATGTGTGTGGATCGCGGACAATTTACCTTGTTGTGCCCTCTTGTTATTCACATTTGTCCCATCGCTGCCTTCCTTCACTGTCCTCCTTAAACTCTTTAGTTCTCCTTAAACTAGTCTGATCTGAGCCGAATTTGGCCTGTTGGCCTGGTCGGCACCGTCTGCTTCCCTCCACCCCCAGTCCTCCTTAAACTGGCCTGATCTGAGCCGAGTTTGGCCTATTGGCCTGGTCGGCACCGTCTGCCTCCCTCCACCCCAGTCCTCCTTAAACTGGTCTGATGTCCTCCTTAAACTGGTCTGATCTGAGCCGAGTTTGGCCTATTGGCCCGGTCGGCACCGTCTGCCTCCCTCCACCCCAGTCCTCCTTAAACTGGTCTGATCTGAGCCGAGTTTGGCCTGTTGGCCTGGTCGGCACCGTCTGCCTCCCTCCACCCCCAGTCCTCCTTAAACTGGTCCGATCTGAGCCGAGCCGATTGGCCTGGTCGGCACCATGGTCTGGACACAGCGCACAGGAGGTGTCTGAGAGCTCACGAAACTAGGGATCTCCGGCTGGTACACGGCCCTCACTGCTGACCAATCTGTGTCGAGATGAACTGAGCGGCAGCTAAAGAGACTACTCCATACCTAATAAATCACTCACCAGGACTTCCTGATATACAAATGGTATTAGGAGTATAACGTGATATTCCACCGACCTTGATGTAATTTTGCAGAGCTGAGGCATGCGCAGCGCAACTGCGCAAATAGACATCACTTCGTGGGAAGTCTTACATTGACAAAGTTAACCGGTGGAAGTATGGATGAAAAGAATCCATCGAAAAGCTGCGGTCAGTCGGACAAACGAAGACACGCTCAGCTATTTAACAATAAATGCAGCACAGGGGTTGCTTTACACATTCAGCGATTAATTACAGCATATTGGGTGCAATGACCAGCAGTGGCAGTCCGGACACGCGGCTTGCAAAGCTGGTCATTAGCGCCGGTGGTCCGGTTACCTGATAGCCGGAGTCGGGAGACGCGGCCGCCACATCTGAGCTGCGCTCGACTCCGCGAGCACATCGTCCACAGTCCAAAATGGCCATCTTCAGACTCTGAAAGGGCAAAAACGAACTTGTGAGATTGTGGGAACGCGTGGGCAGTCGTGGGGTGACCTGAGCAAGGGAGTGGGGCGCGTCTGGAACTTTCTGAAAGTTTATCGTCGGCATTATGGGATTAAACTGGGAGGAAATAATCAAAATGTTTGCAATCGCCCCCCCCCCCCCCCAACTGGCACGGGCTTTTGCTGCGGCTGCACTTAAGTATGCAACATTGTTACCAGTGCGTTGCAGTAATAATGAATATCAGGGAATGGCGGGCAAAAAAACACAAAACCTCACAACCTATGAACTTGATAGTCAGCTGGAATCATTGAGAATGAAAAACATAGCCCTTAGTAGCTTCTCAGGAGATATGCGAGTGAAGCAGACAATTCTTCTGACGATGGCGAGACACGATGTTGCGCCAATTATTGCTCTTTGTTATGGCGCTTTGGCTAACAGCGACGAAGAGTCCCGAAGGCTGCCCAGTGTTCAGGTATGAATGGCCGTACGCGGTCCAGCCCCGGTGTCTAGCCCGGAGACTCAGTGGCGTCAGCCCCCCCCCCCCTCCCCCCTCCCCCCCCATCCTTCCTGAGGTCGGGCCAGAGCCGCTGACACCGGACGGCTCCTCCGCGGGAGGCGGCGCCGATATTTCAGGCCGCCGCGGGCTCCACTCTTCGGCGCGAGAATACCCTGTCAGCGTCAGCGTGGGAACACGGCCGCTGCCTGGGGCGAAACGTAAGCCGCCGCCGGTGCTGTGGTGGCCTACACTTTGTCCTCACCGGCAGCTAACATGGCACACGGTAAATTTGCCATGCAAACTGCCCGTGCATTCGAACGCGATATTGGTGAAAAATATTTGCGTTCTGGAAGTCAAATGATGCTACCTTTTTCCAAGCACGCTACCATGGTTGACGCATCAAGAAAGCCCAACCATAAATTGTGAATGTCTGGTGATCAAGGGCAGCCCATGGGAGGCTGAGAGCATCGCATTTGTCGCTGTCATAGCAACGGAATTTTATGTAAGCTGGTGCAGTTTTTTGTGGGGTGAGTTGAGGCCCGTACGTTAGTAGCTCGTCCGGTCGTTAGGTAAATTATCACGTCATAAAGCTGCGCTGTCCCGGTGTCTCATTTGATAAAACGCCGGGTATCTGAGTACTTCTGTTCGCAGACGAACATTCGCAACTCGGAAATAGCGGTGATGAACTTCTTCAAAAACCGTAAGCTGACTTCTGTTCAATACGGGCAGGCTGGGACGAGGAAAACACGCCACCATATTGTAGTAAGCATAGAAAACCTCTGCAATACGACATTGTAATAAAGAACGTCATAATTATTTCATTCACTTAGCTTTGACCACGATTCGACAACTTTTTGCCAAAAAGATCAAAAAACATGTTTTTCGTGGAACCACAATGGCTTCTATGTCATTGGATGAACACTTTTTGTTACATGCCATGCTGATCAGGAACTAAGTTTATCCATTTTTGCGAAGCTCCCGTCCATATCGCCACTCTTGTCTACGATTGGCTTGGTGCTCGAAATGTTCAGACTCGAAGGAAAAGGCATTCAATGATGCTTTCTTTTTGGATTTTACTCATAAACGGAAAGCAGACAGTCCACTACCTCGTTCTGCGCTTTCTGAGGACATGTTTGTGCGCCTCGAAATGCGCTCTTTATTGGCTTCGTTTTGCCCGCAAGCAAACACCTCCCCCCGGCGATGGCGGGCGCGGCATTTCAACCGAATCTGATTGGTTTTCAGGCCATCACCTCTCGGTTGCAGCCGTGCCGTGGAGACGACCGGGCCAGCTGCGGAGGCTGCAGGACATCGATCGCCGCCACCCTCGCCTGGCCGGGCTCTGGCGGCATGCGGGCTGCAGGGCTGGCGCTCGCGTTCTCTGGTTATCGGCACGGCTGCAGGCGGCGTTGCTCCACGCCACAGGCCACCGCTCACCGGCGAGCCCTCGGACCCGGGCGACGCCGGCCGTCCGTCTCACGCGCCGTCAAACGACGCCCTGGAGCGAGGTGGCTGCCATTTCGGGCACGCCGGCGTCACATCGCTCTCGACCGGGCGACCTTCCGGCGGCGCGGCCACAAAGGTCGCGCCATCGACCGGCCGTCGCGCCCCGTCACGCCCCCGTCACGCGCAGGTCAGCAGACCTGGCGTGTGACGCCGGCGGCGGCAGACGCGTCGGCGCGAGGCCGCGGCCGCCCACACGGCGCCAGACCTGTCACCGGCAGCTGTGGCGGACACCGGCGCGGCGGGGTGCCTCACGTGCTCGGGACCGCGCCCGGGCCGAGCGCGGCCGGTGACATCACTGACGGCTCGAGGGAGACACTGTGCCCGGTGGCAGCACAGGCTTGCGGCGCTCGCGCAGCGTATCTCGTGGCTCGTCAGGCGCGAGGCCGGCCCAGCTCAGCCAGTGCACGTGGAGCTCATCTCAAGACCAGGCTAGCTCATTTACATAGCAAAGAGACTCAGACCGGACCCAACGCACTTAGAGGTGACAAGATAAAACTAATCTTAAGCCTGTTAAGGGGTGCATTTACGTACTCTTCGGCACATACTATGAGTGAAATTTATGCCATAGCACGGAACCAAAGAACGGCGCGAATGCATAGTTTAGTAATTTAATAGGCGAGCAAGCGTCATTTGAAGATAACCCAAGGTGACTCCACATGTGGGCTAAACGGAGCAAACGGGTTTCTGACTTTGGCACATGGTCCAGTCCCTTCAACAGTCTGAAGGCTCCCTGCAGCACAGCATCGGCTCTAACGTATTCCTCTCCTGATCATGGCCCATACAGCCTTCCCAGCCCGCGGCGCACAACACTTGCATGGAGTCGGCTGACACCCACGAGACGTGTGGGCGACGAGACAACGGGGCAACGAGGTTTGTTATGGGGTGCTACGCGGACTCCGTCGATGAGCCGTCTACCTTGACTCCCAAAAAGCACACACCATGCCATGCAAAGCGTACTTGGAATGCGTGCCGACAAATTTTATAACAGGGAGCGCTTCAACCCCAACTATACAAGCTTTCTTAAAACTATGTTCGTGCAGGAATGGGAATGAAGGACAGAGGTCCTTTATAATATGATTATTCATGTATTATAATATACTATATGATACATATATAATATATAGAGAGAGAGAGAGAGAGAGAGAGAGAGAGAGAGAGAGAGAGAGAGAGAGAGAGAGAGAGAGAGGAGAGAGAGAGAGAGAGAGAGAAGAGAGAGAGAGAGAGAGAGAGAGAGAGAGAGAGAGAGAGAGAGATAGAGAGAGAGAGAGAGAGAGAGAGAGAGAGAAAGAGATAGAGAGAAGAGAGAGAGAGAGAGAGAGAAGAGCGAGAGAAGAGAGAGAGAGAGAGAGAGAGATAGAGAGAGAGAGAGAGAGAGAGAGAGAGAGAAGAGAGAGAGAGAGAGAGAGAGAGAGAGAGAGAGAGAGAGAGAGAGACATATATATATATATATATATATATATATATATATATATATATTTCTGCATTATTTTGGTATTGCTACATATAATTATCATATCTTATATAAGATTATATACCGCAGGAAAAGCCGGTTGTCCGGCTTATTATTGAACTGTTCAAATGGTTTTAACTCAGTGGCTTTTCCTTGCCTCTCTTTTTATGCAGACTTTTGGACCTACAGAGCTTTTGCACAGTTTACAGACTGCTTCAAGACGAATAATGGCGCCCGATATATTAGTAACTTGCCGCACTATCGGCTGTTGCATTTGCAGCTGTGTTTAATAGTGGAAATTTGGAGGCGTTTGCCAGGTGCTCTACACATTT